TATCTTTATCCTTGAGTACCATTGATTCTCTAATGGATAGTGATTCATAAAACACATTCATGAATCGGAGCTCCTACTGGTCCAAGTACCGAATCAACCCTCAAGAGAATTATTTATCTACTTCTTTCTTAAGAAGGAATGGATTCCATCTCGTGTAATAACATTTCCGGCTACCTACTTCATCATATCTCCAAAATACAAGGAATAGGATTTAGGATCTCAGAATCTGCACCGAGTAAATTAAAAGACACAAATCCATAAATAGGAGTCTGTTAAGAACTCAGGATTAAGATCATTCTATATATGACCATCGGTAGACTCAATTAGAATTTCTATACTTAACGGAAATTATTAGAAATTCATATTGTGTATGTGCCATTGTTTCACATAATCTCATTATGCGAAATACACTCATTCAATATCACACCATATTAACAGTGCGGATAACACCGTTCCATTCTAAATGGCAATGACATGTATTAATAATGTTTTAATTAAAGATTCTGAACTTTAATTAAATTCATTATGAACATTGCTTTTTTATTATTATCATTAAACATTATCCTCTCATATATAACACTTATATACAATGTTTACATAAATAATCACAGAATTTTCATTGATATTCATAAAATATTCACAAATATATACACATAAAATGATGAATAAACTCTTTTATTAAATAAATAATAAATATCCTATTACATCTTTTGCTTCTAGGACACCCTTCCCAACAATTTGAACAATTAGGGAATGTGAAAAGATCGAAAAATTAATTGTGAGTTATTTTATTATTATTATTATTATTTTTTAGTATTTGTTGGAATTTTGTTAACGATTTTTTTTTTTTTTTTTTTTTTTTTTTAAAATTTTGGGGGGAAAAATTTGTGGAGGGAGGATTTTTTTAACGATTTTTTTTTTTTTTTTTTTTTTGTAAAATTTTGGTGGGAACAATATGTCGAGGAAGAGTCCTGTTTCAATCTTAGGGGACGTTAGATGTGTTGACAAAATAATTAAGAAACTCGAAACATTCTTGGAGTGTTCATGAGCAATCCCAATTTCTCAAGCAGTCTACATTCTTTAATCCACCGGCAAGTCAAGAAGGGATGAGGAGATTATGCGCTTGCATGCAAAGATTGATATGATGATCATATAAGATGAGTTATACATGCAATCCCGAAGTCAAGCTTCTATGCAAGCTCCCTTAGCGGAGGAATTTGGAGCCCCGACTGTCAATTAAAGAGTTGTAGCAAGTGTGAAAATTTATTTTAATGGTGTAAACATGAGAAAAATTAAGGGAAACACCTCTTAAAATATAAAATTAAAACGAAAAATGAGAAAAAATTATATAAGATTTTTAATGGGAAAAAATATATATAAAAGAAGAAAAGAAAGCTATAAAAGAAAAGGAGTGAGATGGAATGATGCGGAGAAATCGAAGAGACACACATATTTATATACGTAAGAAAAGATAAAAGATGTAAGATAATATATATTAATTGTGTCTGATTATGAAGCTATTTATTATTTCATTAATCTAACGATCTTGTTGGTGGCATTTTTCACAATAATAAATCTGTTACGTGGCAATAGGTCAGACGTAACACGTCCAAGTACCCGAGCATCTGAGCATTTGACTGTCTGAGTATTAATATTCCATATAAAGCTGGACAAAGCTTGAAAGTCACAAGGCAGCATCAAATAGTGTAACAGTTAATAATTAATTAAAAGAATTCAATAGCAAAAGTTTAATCCATATTAATTATTTATTAGTTGTAACAACCAATAGGTGAATGGTTTCATTTTGTAATTAAAGACACAAGAAACTCTCGAACTAATGGTAGAATTAAACTCCACATTCCCAATGTACAATAAATTCCCTCAACTTAATAGGAATAGGACTAAGGATGGCAACATGACAAATTTGGGGTGGGGTGATCTTCCTTCCAACCCGCCCCACGAACAAATACTCACCATACCCGCCCTACCAACTCACATAAATTGGCAGTTTATGGGGCGGATTTTCCCGTCACGGGTTTAGAATATTCGCAGTGCCCTATTTACCCGGTTAGTTATTTTCATTATAAAATAAATAAATTATTAATTAAACAATACAACCATACAAAATATTAAGCTCAAATTTAATGGAAGGTAGTTTTAAATTTTCATATATATTATGTGACATATTATACTTAAAATTAAATATTATCGCGTATTTATACATAATATATTTAATTTTAAAATTAGATATAATTAAATGGGACGTGTAAACAAGAAATTGGGTCAGAGACCTCTAAATCCGTCATTGCCCCGCAACCTACGACGAATTAAAATTATAATTCATTTACAATCTGAATCCGTTGAAAGTTTATTTTTCCCATTCCATTTAATGCGGATTCTCACGGTAAATGGATTAGCAGATAAAATTATCATCTCTAAATAGGACACACTCAATTTTGAATATAACTACCTTGAAATTGTCTTTGTTTTTTCTTTTCTGAGGTTAAATCCAGTTTTCTTTGATTATTTGTCCTTTTAATACAAATTATTAATCTAGAAAGGTTGATAAAGTGTTGGACGAAGTTTTGATTGTTTCCGTTTTGTTTGCTTCCGAACTGCTTGTTAATGGCACATTCTTCGTTTTCCGGACCGAATTCTCGACAGAGCCTTGATGAAACCTGGAAGTTGCAGCAGTGTCGTTTGTGAGGAAGTTATTTAACCATCTTGCAGAAAGTTTTGGACTTCGTTTAAGCGTGGTCCGGTCCACGTAATAGAGCCCAAATCTGCTGTTGTAACCATCTGCCCATTCAAAGTTATCCAACAATGACCAAACGAAATATCCTTGCACATTCGCACCGTTCCTGTAATTCACATTATAACAAAAGTCACCAGAGAGAGAGAGAGAGAGAGAGAGAGAGAGAGAGAGAGAGAGAGAGAGAGAGAGAGAGAGAGAGGGAGTGAGAGGGTGAGAGAGGAAAAGTGATATGACAAAGTGTAATTGAATTGTGTCATCGTTTTTATTTAACTTGACATCATTTATGACTTAGGTAGTATATATTTGAATTCAAGGACATGGATCGCCGCCGGTGAATTAGAGTACCATTTTTAAACATTTGGTACTCGAATATATCAATTATGCGAAAAGATATCAGTCTAATTTACATATAAAAGTGATACAAAGTGAATATTTTTTACTAGTATTCAGCCTAATTTACATGGATAAAATCTTTCCCGCAACCACAATTTTTGAACCATTTTAGATCACACACTTTACTACTTCTATTTGTTCATATGTATCGAATTTTAACACGTTATATTATATAGGGATTGTTCATTATATATAACCTATATTATACCACAAGTAGTAATATAGATTGTGAAATCTTGTAGCTATAATAATGTCAGTGTTTGTTTAGTTTGAGGGTTCAAAAATCAAATCAAGTGGTTTGAATCATAATTTAAATTTTATGTTTTGCATTTAAATTTTTTTGTGAAAAAAAAGCGCTATTTCAAATAAAACAAGGGTGGTCTGAACCCTCAAACCAAGCACTTAGTTTCTATACCTTACGGCACTTGCTACAGCGGAAAGGTAATCTTTGTGATATTTGACGCGATCAATGTCTTGAAGCAGGTCTTCCACTCGTTCATTTTGCTGTATTGGCGAAGCAAATCCTGCGGAAAATCAAAGTTCTTAAATGTAGAGAATTTGTATTTATTTTCAGTATGTAAAATACGTCAAGGAATAATTAACAAAATAATATGATTTTGTATAATGTTGTTCGAGTGTGATAGCAATATAACAACACTCGGAAAAAAAAAAAAAAAAAAAGAAAACGAAAAGAAAGGGAAATTTCAAGAGGGGCATGCAACATGCAAATAGCTATGATTCGTATGTGCCAACCATTTTCAGTAACAAACATGGGCTTGTTGTTATATCTTTGCTTAACGTAGTCAATAGCCTTTTCCAGTCCTCTTGGAACTACAAAGAACCTTGCCTTTCCAGTCTACAAACAACAAAATACCATGTTATAAAATGAATTAGATGAAGGAAAATAAATAAGACGTGAGTAAGGAAGAAACGAAATTGTTCATGTACGTCTATTACTTGGATAGATTAGATCTTCCGTTTTTGTTCTTTTTAGCCTTATTTTTCTGCTCAGCTAGTATGAGATGCATGCAAAATAAAAATTTGATCAAGAGATTGAAAAGACTTTGCAAATCTAATTAATTCAAATGAATTATATGCAAAATATTGGCATACCGGCTGTCCAATTGGAGTGCCATCTCGTTCAGTGGTAGTTTCGAGAAACCCTCGAATCGGGCGGTCGCTGCCAGAGGAACACTCGGAGTAGATGCAATCCTTGACGTAGAAAGTAGAGTAGTGGTTGATGCCGATGAAGTCGGGACTAGTGCTTTGTAGAAGCTGTTTCTGTCTTGGGGAAAATCTCGGCAATTGCAGCCCAATGCAGTTTAGCATTTCAGGAGGATAATCTCCATGCACTAGAGGATCTAACGCCCTGTTTAATTCCAAGTTGAGTAATAATTGTAGTCGGGGTAAACGAAAACCTTAAAGGAAATTAAAGAAAATGTTGATAGGCTTAATTTGTTTTTTTTTTGTTTATGAAGAAGGTCTGAACTATAGGATATTATTACCCTAGTAAGAAGAATATCTCTTGGTTATTACGTGTATTATATAACTGGAATAAAAACCTTGAAATTTATTTTTACTAAACCTGTAGCCTATTGAAATAATATCAGTAGAAAAAGCCCAGTTTCCGAAAGTGCATTTTAAAAGCCACAAAAGTTAAAATTCCTTTTTTTTTAATGCATAAAGTAAGTCGAGGAGAAAAAAAAAAAAAAAAGCACTCCTAAGATTCTAAAATGCTTATGAAATTTGTAGTATTGAGGGCCTACTTTGCATTACTTTTAGTGGTTTGTTTTCTTTTTTTTTTTTTTTTTTTTTTTTTTTAAGATGATACGGTAAGTCACAGTGCTTGGTAAATTTTAATTTTATCTAGCAATTAGCTTTTAAATATCGTTGCTAAATAACAGAATTTGAAAAGTAAGTTAAGTTGGCACAATAACTTCTGCACTGTCATTTTTCAAATTTATTTAAAATAATTTTAATAATAATAAACTAAATTCTTAATATACCCATTTTATTTTACCCATATCAAATTTTACTCAAATACTTTTAAGAATTATCAAAATATTTGAAAATAACAATAGTAAATAACAAACTTAGAAGATGTATAATTTATCACCGTCAATAAAAATAAGGAAAATTATAGTAAATAAACTAACATTTAATATTTGTGGAAGTAAATAAACCAATGACCAAAAATTAAAAATTAATAGGCCTTTTCAGTTTTAAATATTTTAGACGCGTTTATAATTAATTTTAAAATGATTTTATTTTTTATATGAAAATAAAAATAATAACGTTTTTAATTTTAGACAGAAATTATTTTTAATAATGTATTTAGTAGTTTTATCAAGAGATTATTTTTTAGTATAAAAAATTTATAAATGTCTCTCTCGAGAGAAAAAAATAAAAATAAAAAAAAAAAATTTTTATTTCTCTCTCATTTTATATTAAATTAAAAAATTATTTTTATTTTTATTTTTTATCTTTATTACATCAAACATGTTATTTAAAAAACATTTTTATTTTTAAAAAAAATATAAAAAATAAAAACAGAATCAATTCACTTCTATTTTTCCAAAATTATCTCTTTTTTTCAGTTCTCTCTCTTCTGTGCGTTCCCTCCCTCCCGCCGGTTCTCTCTCTCCTCTCTCCCTCTCCACCGATCTAATCTCTCTCAAGCCGACGATGTCCTGCAAATTTCTTCAGTGAAGATCGTTGATCTTTGCAAGCCAAGATATCGCCATCACAACGGTCTTACTGGCTCTTCGATCATCGCGATCCACGTAGCTGTTTAGTAAGAAATCTAACGGTGGCCATCGTAGTCAAGTTCGACTGTTCGCGAGCTTTACCGTTTTTCTCCGACGGTGTTTGTAAGAAATCTGTGTTTCAGTGTGAATTTTTTTTTTTTTTTTT